TTTATATATATATACACATATATATATATATATATATATATATATATATATATATATATATATATATATATATATATATATATATATATATATATAGGGGAAAGCGGGGCAAGATGACTTTTCATATAACAACTCAACAAAAAATCTTAAAAATGGCTGAAAATGAAACTGTATTTGCATCTTGAATTTTAAAACACCAATTTGTTTTTTTAAATATTATTAACACAATTTTATACGCATAAATTTACTTTTTGCGCTTAAAAAAAATTATATCGGTTTCAGTTTCTCATAATTGATGGTGTCCTTCAGGTGTAACTTCTTTAGAAGTAGTTTTTTGCAACGTGTTTTATTTTGTGTTACTTTAGTTAGAGTTGCTGGTAGGCAGTAAATGCATAATAAGTCATCTTGCCCCGGTCACCTGACCAGATGACAAATTTGACCAGAAGAGAAAATAAAAAAAAACTTAATTAAAGCTACACATTTTTTTCTTCTTACTAATTAAACGTGTTTTCAATTTTAAATTTTAAAATAAAGATCAACAAAACAATAGATTTTGAATCGATCTTCGAAAGTGCGAATAATATACTCAATGATGCTGATACGAAAATTTTTTAAATGAATAATTTTGATTCTCAATATTTTAAGATTGAAACTTTTAAAACTGAACTTGAAACCATTAAGAATAGTTTTACAGTAATTCTTATAAATATAAGAAGCATAAATAAAATTTTTGACAAACTTAAGCACTTCCTAATTTATTAAAATTATTTATTCATTATGATTTGTCTAACAGAAACTTTGTGTTCTGATAAATCAATCCAAAATAACTCTAATTTTCAAATTCCCAATTATAAATTAATATCTTCTGAAAGAAAAATATGCAAAAAGGAAGAAGGGATTGCAACTTATGTTCGGGATGATCAAGCGATAAAAGTAAAAAAAGACCACTCCATTTCTAATCCCGATAGTAACATTTTATCAATTTTTAACAAACCCACACGGGTAACCTCAAATTCTATTTCTACCATAGATAAAATACTAACAAACTCATTTCTAGATACCTCCTTAAAAGCAGGAATAGTAAAAATTAATATAACAGATTATTTTCCAATTTACTTTACATTAACAAATGATACTAGAATAAACGGTAATTTGAAAAAAATAATTTATAAAAGAAAAATAAATAAATTTTCTATTCATAATTTTAAAGACACACTATCGGCAGTAGATTAGGTTAAGGTGTATCAAGAATGTAACCTTGGAAACACAAACTCTGCATATAATACTTTTTCTGCACTATAATAATCATTTTCCAATTAAAGAAAAAGAAATCAAAGTAAAATATTTGAGCTGTCCATGGATCACTAGCGGAATTAAAATATCTTCAAAAACAAAACAAAAACTATACGTTAAATATTTGAAAAACAGAAATGAGGATAACCTACCTATTTATAAACAAAACAAAAATCTTTTCAAAAAAATCAAAAAACATTCTAAAAAAACTTACTACTCTAAATTACTTCAAAAAACAAATGGAGACATCAAAAAAACATGGAACATCATAAAAGAAATAATCGGGAAAAAAACAAATAGCTTATCAGATAGAATTATTATGAATGAAACCGAATACGATGATAAGAACTCAAGGTCAAGGGACTGGGCAGGCCATTCCATCACATTAATATCATTCTTTTGAAAATATTCTCTTGATGCTATGGCAGAATGTTTTTGACCATTGTCTCGTTGAAAGACGAAGATATTTCGGAATCTAAATTTATGAGCAGAGGGCTTCAAATTTTGTTTTAAAATGTCTATATACAAATTGGCGTTCATTATTGATTCAATGAAAGGCAATTTGCCAGCTCCTCGGCACGCCATTGATCCCCATACCATGAGATATTTTACTGTTCCTCTCATGCAACTCAATTTGTATGCCTCGCCTTTTTTTCGCCAAACTTTTTCCTGTCCATCCGATGATACCAGGTTAAATTAGGATTCATCACTTCAAATTACTTTCTTGCATTACTCAGTAGTCTTGTCAACATACTTCTTTGCAAATAATAATCTTTGTTTCATGTCTTAAAATCAAATAGAGTTTTTTGCGACATACTCTACCATGAAATATTTGCTTTCGGATTCTATTTCAAATAGTTTGAGTTGAAATCATGATTTTGTGGTCGTTTTTTTATCTGCAATCTTTGAGTAGCTTCAAATCTGTTTTATATTTTTAATTTTATATTTTTCCCACATAAATTCAAAAAAGTACTAAATAAAATTTTTGAGCCAATAATTATTTTGCTTCCAATATAACATCTGTGTGCTTTTAGTGTTTTTAAAAACAATAATCCTTTGGTACAATCATGTACCAAAAGTGCATAAAAAAATCTTCATAATAGTAATACTCTTTTATGTACATTTAAACTTTTTACAGTTTTTAAAAAACATGAGTAAACGGATAAGTTAAAAAGAAAAAACTTTTAAAAATTTGCTTGTGCCATTTATTTTTTTGCCTACTGTAAAACTGGAGAACCATATTTACTTAACAATTATAGACCAATTTTAATCCTTTCTGTATTCTCAAAACTTCTTGAAAGAATAACTTATAATAAACTATAGAAATATTTAACAAACAACAACATCTTAAATAAAAACAATTTGGCTTTTAAAAGCAACATGCATCAAACAAAGAATCATAGATCTTGTAAATAGCATCAACTACTCATTTGATAATAATAAATTCGTTCTAGGAATCTTTATAAATCTATCGAAAGCATTCGATATTGTTGATCATGAAATCCTGCTTAAAAAAATTGAAGAAATAGCGTAAAAAATGTTGCGTTACTCTGGTTTAAAAACTTTTTGCTAAAAAGACAACAATGCGTTAATATTGATGAAAACATCTAATCAAAAATGCTAAAGATCAAATGTGGCGTTCCCCAAGGTTCCATTCTAGCTCCCTTACTGTTTTTAATATACATTAATGATCTTCCGAAAGTCTCAAACAAACTTGATGTCATAATGTTTGCAAATGATACTAATTTATTCTATTCATCCCCGTCAATTACAGAACTTTTTGAAACAACGGATATTGAACTTGGAAAACTTAATACTGGGCTAAAATCTATAAAAACAGAAAAAACTAATTACACCTTATTCCATCCCAATCAAAAAAGAAAAACACTATCAAATATATTACCATTGATAAAAATAGAAAACAAAAATATCAAAAGAAACACAACAACTAAATTTCTAGGTTTACTTATTGATGAAAATATTTCATGGAAAGCACATATTGACTATTTAAATACTAAAATAACCAAAAACATTGGCTTGCAATACAAAGCTAGGCCAATGTTATCCCAAGAAAATCTAAAATATCTTTAATTCTCAGTTATACATACCTATTATAAATATGGTAATATAGCATGGGCAATTATCCATAAATCCAATTTGAAATCACTTTATCGACATCAAAAACATGCCGTTAGAATTGTCTATAAAAAAGATAAACTCACTCATGCTGAACCTTTGTTAAACTTCTTAATGTACTAAACGTCTATAGAATTAACATTTACCAAAATGAACTTACTGTTCATGCTAAAATATAAACTCGGGCTTGTCCCACCACATTTCTTAAATGAATTCTTTAAAAGCAATAGAAATTGATACGGCACTAGAGAAGTAGGAAACTTTAGTATGCCGTTCAGAAAAACAAAACTATTGCGTTTCACAATTTAATATCGCGGTCACTATCTCTATAATAAACTGATATCCAAAAATGCCATAATTACAAAATTAGATAACATAAATTGTTTGAAAATCTTACTAAAAAAATTCATTCTAAATATAAACAATTATTTGAACTTACAATAAACTTAAACTGAAACTAGAACCAAAATTAGCGTTGAAAACAAAATCCCAAAAAACCTCAATAATATATATTAATATAAAAAAATCAAGATATATCAATAATAATTATATTTATGCCTAATAATACATTTATGTGTATTATGTGTACTACAAACAGCATTTATCAACTTTTTCTTTTTTTACCACGTTTTTATTAGCTCGCTTTCTTGTTTGTTTGTTTGTCCGGGTGGAATTTCGCAACTCAATTTTAACCCACTTTTCGATTAGCTAGAGCTCTGAAACTTTTACTATAGCTCAGAACCCGATGACAATGCAATATTATACTACTTTTATCATGATTTGCCGAGTTTCTTGAACAATTTCAGCAAAATAAAATTTATTATGGCGAAACTTTTGGAGGCGTCGCCGCAATTTGACGCGTCGCTTTAAATAAAAAATTTTCGAACAAAAAAACCAAATTTAACTGTCGCTGTGATTTTAAATGGACCGCAGCATAAAAACAAAATCAGTTGTTTACAAAATATAAAATTCCACCCATCAAAAACTAAAAAGAAGAAAATAATATAACAAATAAAAAAACCTTTTATAAAACCACGTTTTTGTAATGAACTAAAAAGTAGAAAATAATTTTCTCTTGTGGCTATAGAAATTTTTGAAAATTAATTGAGTCGATAGTAAGTGACATGAAAATTTTTGATTATGAACTCTTAATAATTACGATAATATTTGTAAAATTTTAAACGAAAAACGTGGTGCGCATTTAACGAAAAAAAAGAACAGAAGAAGGAAGCAATAGTTAAAGTAATTGAGGACGATGATGATCATTTAAAGTGACAAGATGCGCACCACGTTTTTCGTTTCAAATTTTACAAATATTATCGTAATTATTAAGAGTTCATAATCAAAAGTTTTCATGTCACTTACTATCGACTCAATTATTTTTCAAAAATTTCTATAGCCACAAGAGAAAATTATTTTCTACTTTTTAGTTCATTATAAAAACGTGGTTTTATAAAAAGTTTTTTTATTTGTTATATTATTTACATTTTATTATATGTGAATCCAATATAAAATTAAGTATTTTGTGAAACTAGAAACATTGTAAAACGAAAATACAAAAAAAAAATTACAAGTACAAGCGGTTTCTCGATGACAAGACCATCTGGTTTCTGCAAGTTTCTAGCATTCTTTCAATATTAATGATACCCTGCAATCATATTTTTTGTGTTCTATAAAATTGTGATATATATATATTTATACATTTTTAAGATTATATATTTTAAAAACATTATAACATTGTACCAGTGAAGGAGAATCACAACATTGTAAAACAAAGAACAAAAAAAAAAAAAAAAAAAAACAATATATATATATATATATATATATATATATATATATATATATATATATATATATATATATATATATATATATCAACTAAAACAAAGTTCAACAAACTAAAATGCAAAGTTTTAAATTTGTTTCAAATTTTTAAAAAAAGATTTACATTTATAATAAAAATTCTTAATTATGTAAATAAAAAAACAGTTTGTTATAAAAATTCATTAGAAGTGTTTTGTTACTCAACTAAAAAGTTTCAATAATTTAAAACCATTTAAGATTAAACTTATTTAATTGTAACGGCTTTCAAAAAAAAAAAAATCTTTTTTTTTTCAAAAAATTTTTTTTTATCTTTATAAATGTATTAACTTTAATGATTCTTATAATAAAGTTCCTTAAGGAGACTTTTGTTGTCTTAAAAAGTCATCGTTTATAAAAACAAAATATTTTTTTTATTTTTTATTAACGTTTATTATAAAAAATGCTTAATCAGTCATATATATTTTGAAAATAAATTTTCACGGCTATTTACAAATAATATTGAAATACTAATCTCAAGTAAATTCCTTAAAAAAATGATTTATATATATTAGGCCCGTAGCAACCGGGGGATGGGGCAGCAGGGGCATTTGCCCCCCAATAAGTTAGTTTTTAGAAAAAAAGCAAACGATTACAAAATAAGATATAAAAGAAAAAAAATGTTAGAAAAGATCTAATTTGTTATCTGTATTTTTGGCGTAAGTTCCTTTGATAAAAATTTTTGACCTACTACTATTTGACCTACCCAGTAGTATTGCCCCCCCCCCCCACACACACACACACAGTGGCGGATTTAAATTCTTTGGGGCCCGGCCCGGGGCTATTTTTTTGAGAAAAAATGAAAAAAAAAAAGGTCCATAAAACTAATTCCAAACCCCTCATTCCAACACAGTTCCCCTATATAATTATTGTTCCTACGGGCCTTTATATATATACAATTAATCTTAGGTAAGGTACTAGTAATTGGTACTAGTAATTGGTACTAGTATTTGACCATGTGCCAGTATAAAATTGTTTAAAAATGCCTTATTATGGAAGAACTTCTTGAAAAACAGCGGGGAAATACACTCCTACCTCATGGTTGTATATACGTGAATACGGCAAACATTTGACAGCTTTGAAAAAGATGGCTTACATTCAATGTTAATGTGCTATGCTCTTGTCTAATTTTTTTGAGTTTTCTTCTGCAGTTTGCTATAATATTGGATCAGAAAATTTAAATAATTTAGTATTTGACCAGGGGTGGTCAATTACTAAGTTATTCCTTAGTTTATCTTAAGGTAGCTCTATTTTTAAAAATCAGTAAAAAATCAAAAAAAAAAATTAAATTTTATCTTATTTGAAATTTATTCTAGATTCAGAAAATATATATCTTTATATACATTCAAACTCAATATTATGAGTAATCCAGTAATCCATTTTTTTAGTCAATTATATATTAAATTTGATCTTCTTGACTCGATGCATGGGTTTTGCTTGTGTTTCTGTTTTTACGACTAGGCAACTCATTCTATTATCTCGTAATGAGGGTACAGCTCTATAACTCAGTTTTATGGTTCTGAAGCCTGAGTTCGGGAAACCTTACTAATAGTAAGGTTTCCCGAACTCTGTGGTAGCTCTCAGAGAGGCTGATTCCATCAACAGCTGAAAAATATCAAAGTTTTAACAGTGACATGTTGCGCATGGATGGTGTCCCTGTTTGTAATTTTGTTGTGCATTGCCAAGGATACATTTTGAGCCCTTTGTTACGGCTTAGGGTTTATTAATAGTAATGAGGCCATTGCTTGGGCTATTAAACAGTGTACTGAGTACTATCTAAGCTTCGAGTCAAGTTCTTTAACAAATTTAAAAATGAATAAAGTAATAAAAACTATAAAACACAAAAAATCATTGCCACCACCAAGTTCTCTAAACCTATCATTCACTAATATTCGCAGTCTTTGAAGTAACTTTTCTTCTGTCGAGTCTTATCTCTTGCAAAGTTTACCAGATCTACTTGCTCTTTGTGAGACTAATTTGAGTTCAGCTGTCTCATCTTGTGATCTCAGTGTTGATGGTCATCTTCCTTTAATTCGTAAAGAATCCAATAGTCACATGCTTGGCCTGGGCATTTACATTCATAAGAAATCACCCATTTGTCGGGAAACCAGGTTTGAATCCACAGACTTTTCTTTTATGTGCTATAGTTTTGCACCACTTCACTCTATCGCTCTCCTTCATATCAAGACTGCACTTTTCTTGATGTTATTTCTGATCATAATGACCAAGCCCTCTATCTGCATCCATCAGCCAATATTGTTGTTGTCGGTGACTTTAATGTTCATCACACTGAATGGCTTGGCTCTAGTGTCAGTGACTCTGCAGGCATTAAGGCCCACAACTTTTGCCTTTCTCAAATAGTCAACTTTTCAACTTCCAGACAACCCGAACCATATACCTTCTCTACTCGACTTATGTCTTGTTTCTGATCCTAGTCAGTGCTCAGTCTTATTCCCCCTCAACGATTCCAGGTCAAGCCTTACTCTTCTCTATGGTTTTCCTCACATTGTGCTTATCAGAGTCTTGTTTTCAGCCTGCTGGAAAGCAGCATCTGTTATCCCTATTTTTAAAAATTCCGGAGAGCGATCCGATTCGTCTAACTACCGTCCCATTAGTCTTCTTCCTATCATAAGCAAGGTTTTTGAATCTTTAATTAACAAACACTTAATCTCTCATCTTGAATCTCATAACCTACTTTCTGATCATCAATATGGATTTCGATCCTCTCGTTCTACGGCTGATTTGCTATCAGTAATAACCGATAGGTTTTATCGCGCATTAGATAAAGGTGGAAAGGCTAAGGCCATCGCTCTTGACATTTCCAAAGCGTTTGATAAAGTTTGGCATGCTGGTCTTCTCTATAAGCTTTCTTCTTACGGTGTATCCGGAAACACCTTTAAGATTATTGAATCGTTCCTTTCCAATCGTAGTATAAAAGTTGTCCTTGATGGGCATCACTCTTCTTCTTATTCTGTAACCTCAGGGGTTCCTCAAGGTTCAATCCTTGGCACTATACTTTTTTTAATTTACATTAACGATCTTCCAGATATCTAAAGTATCATTGTTCGCTGATGATACTACCATTTATTTTTGTCACGATAAGAAGCCAACTCCCGCTGATTGCTTGCAGGGGGCATCTGAGCTTGAAAAGGATCTCACTTCTGCTACAGCATGGGGCTTACAGTGGCTGGTGAACTTTAATTCAGATAAAACTCAATTTTTTTCAGCCAATTGTTATCGCAATAATTTAGACCTTCCTATATTTATGAACGGTAATGTACTTGATGAGTCTCCTACCCTTCATCTTCTAGGATTAACTCTTATTTCTGATCTTTCTTGGAAACTTTATATAAAATCCGTTGAAAAATTAGCATCTACTAAAGTTGCTTCTCTTTATTGAGCTCGACACTTTCTTACTCTGGATTCTATTCTCTATCTCTACAACTCTCAAATCCGGCCTTGTATGGAATACTGTTGCCATATATGGGGCGGATCTTCTAATGATGCCCTTTCTCTTTTAGACAAGGTGCAAAAACGCATTGTAAACATAGTTGGACCTGCTCTAACGGCCAACCTTCAACTTCTGTCACATCGTTGTAATGTTGCTTCTCTTTCTCTTTTCTACAAATACTATAATGGGCACTGCTCTAAAGAGCTAGCGTCTCTTGTGCCATCTACTAAAATTCATTCTCGTGTTACTCGTCATTCAATTAAGTCTCATCCTTTTTCTGTTACTGTTCCTAAGTGCTCCAAAAACTCTTACTCGTGTAGTTTTTTTCCTCGAACATCAGTTCTTTGGAATTCGCTTCCTTCGTCTTGCTTCCCTGATTCATATAATTTGCAATCTTTTAAATCGTCTGTCAACCGTTATCTTGCTCTACAATCTTCATCTTTTCTCTTCCAGTAACTTCCAACACTAATTAGTGGTTGCTTGCAGCCTTGTTGGAAGCAAAGATGTTTAAATATATATATATATATATATATATATATATATATATATATATATATATATATATATATATATATATATATATATATATATATATATATATATATATATATATATATATATATATATATATATATATATATATATATATGTATATATATATATATATATATATATATATATATATATATATATATATATATATATATATATATAATGACGTGCGATCGCTACGGTTGTTTAGTATAAATGTTAAGATACGCATGCGTTAGAAAAACGCTTTTGAATTTTTAAAATGGTTACGGTTCTTAACTACAGAGAATATTTTATATGGCAACCCGTTTATTTGTTAATTGATTTCTAAAAGGTTTATGGTGTAGCCTTATTTTTATGTAGATCACTATATTAATACAAAAATTGCACAAAAATATAAGTAAAAAAAGGTAAAAAGAATATTGCCATGCTTCAACTTTATTTTTAATCGATACCTTTTTAGTGTAAATCATAGATTTGTTTATGCATTTGAAATCAATTTTCTAAAAATTTGACTGTAGTATTTTAGAAAATTTTTTTTAACTTTAAATAAATATATTCTATATTAGATATTCTATATTATATAAAGGTGAGTTTCAACGCATCATTTTTTTGCTATTTTTTTACTCACCTTTATCATAAATATAGGGAAAAAAGGGTAAAACATATATATATATATATATATATATATATATATATATATATATATATATATATATATATATATATATATATATATATATATATATATATATATATATATATATATATATATATATATATATATATATATATATATGAGTGATGTGAATTTTTGGTAACTCCAGTTTCCAATATAAAAACAGATGAACTTGGGTTTGAAAGTAACTGAAAAGTCATTGGTTTTATTTAATTTTTGAAAAAAGTTACCTACCATGAACCTTGATTACACACCGGCTCCCATATATCAGTTAAAAAGAACCAGAATTTTATAGTGATTTCAAAATTCATAATCATTTCTACTGAAACATTAAAAATATATATATATATATATATATTGCGAACAAAATGTCATAAACTTTTTCAATTATTAGTTAAAAACTGTTTTTTTTTTAATTAAATTTAAGCAATTTATTTTTATTTAAAACAATTATTATTTCCGAAATTTTTATGAAATTCTGGTTCTTTTGAGACCCAGGTTGGTATACTTTTGAAGAAAAAAAAAAATTTGCGGGATTAAAAGCATGGAAATCGATAAAGAAACAACAAGCGGAAAAAAGAAAACATCTAAAAAAGATGGAAAATGAAAAAATTTATAATTGTCATTAAATTGATAATACATTATTTAAAATTAAAGATGTGAAAAAAATGTATAAACCTAAAAAAAGCTAAAAAAAAAAAAAAAAAATATCTTTTTTTATTAGTTTACCTTATTTTTTTATGAAGTTAAATTTGATTTTTTTTTTGCTTTGATTGCTCTAACAAGTTACCATAGTTTAATCAACAAATGATAATTGATGTTTAAACGATCTTTTGTAATTACAGTGTATAGTCTTCTCTTCTATTTGCAATTTATCGACGGTAGATTGCGTTTAGGAAACCAATATACTCTGAAGTAAAAAAATATATATGAAGAAGTCGCTCTGAAATAATTAAACTTAATTACTACTTGATAACATTTATGAATTTATACCTCAATAACATTTGATGAACTTGATAATACTAATGAATTGCAACCCTCTTTGAGTTTGAGTCCTTTACTTAATGTTTTCTTGGATTATATTTCATTATTGATCTTAAGCCATTTATGAAATAACTTGTAAACTTAAGATCTGTAAAATTCTAAACTTAACATCTGTTAAGGTTACCTCTCTCAATTTTTCTCGCCGTTTTCTTATGTCATTTTCTAATGATTTTCTTATGGGGAGGACGAGGGTGTTGTGTCTGTTTTTTGCCGTTGCTTTAGTCGGTATAAAACAGACACAACGACCACCCACCCACCCCTCCTTTAAAATCTCTTCTGGATGGCCCTGATTGAAAGTACTACCTCTAGGTAGAGATTGAAAAAAGAAATTATGAAATATTGTCTTAAGTTCCTTTTTGTCACTACAAACATTTTCTACAAACATTTTTTTCAAAACATCACAACTGAATACAATTTTTTTTTTCATTTCGAAAATAAAGATTTATACCAGGAAAAAAGTGGCGGAAGCACTTGTTGGTATCAAAGTGTTTTAATAAATCAAATCTTAATACAACACCGTACACTGATGCATTTTGTTTATTGTGACTCTCACCCTAAATGACTAAACATGTGTATTAAAACCAGGTTTCGTTAAGAGCATCTAGAAATTTTACGGCTTTGGCTCAGCTCCCTACTTTACAGTTATCACAATTAAATAACAAGCAATTATAAAATAGTAAAAATTAAATAAAAATAAAAACTCTCTAAGCGCTGAAACAGTCATTATTTCTTTCACCTGCTCCAGCTATAATAAAAATCAACTACTCTACGAATCCGCCTCAGCAAATCTGGTTAAAGCTCAAACTTATATTTAAACAAAAAATAATATTACCCTAATAAGCTCTTCATTTTGGTTAAGATCAATGCATATATATATATATATATATATATATATATATATATATATATATATATATATATATATATATATATATATATATATATATATATATATATATATATATATATATATATATATATATATATACATATATATATATATATATATATATATATATATATATATATATATATATATATATATATATATATATATATATATATATATATATATATATATATATATATATATATATATATATTAGGGTTATGACTTTCTGACTTTTTTAAAAAACTAATTGTAATATATATAATCTTGTGTCATAAATCGATGAACTTTTATTAGAAAAGATCGAAAATATTTTATTAATTTAAAATATTTTTAATCTTTTCTATATTAATAAAATTATTTGATATTATTAGATTGTTTAATTCCTCTCGGTTGTAAAAAAAGGTCTCCCCGCAATTCAAATTTCGTTTGGTCATTTATTTAATCTTGTTACTGCTACTATTAATACGCGTGGCTTTCCTGCAAATCATTTAAAACTTTTATAGATTAGAAGTGTTTAGAACTTTAGAACATTTTAGAAAATAACAGAATATTTTAGAAGAACTTTAAAACATTCTAGAACAATTTAAAACATTCTGGAACGATTTAGAACACTCTAGAACAATTTAAAATATTTTGGAACATTTTAGAACATTCTGGAATATTCTAGAACATATTAGACTATATATAGCTGCTCATCTAATTTTATAGTTATTACAGAAGCGACACATGGCGTCGTACAAGCCTAGCGATAGTAGCATTCAGAAGAACAAGGATGTCTGGACCAATACTCTGGTAAAATTAGAAGACTCATAAAAAAAGAAGAATAGTATCTTTGGAGGAATATTCACTGGAATAAAATTGCAGAATGCCTTCAAAAGCAAATTATCGGACGCTACCATTTTGTTGGATCAAAAATCAAAGGAAGAAAGGAGCGAATAGCGGAAATTCTCAAAGAAGTCACTAAATTGTGGAAGAATAAACTGAATTTTCCTTATGTACCTGATCAAGTTATACAAACAAAGCTTGTTAAAATACTGAAATGTTATGATGAATGTGTCAAGCGGGGAAGCTACGAACCCCTTGATAAAATTTTTGATATTACTAAAGTGAATGAAACATGGTTATCTTCCGAGGACAAGCGATTGTACCATCTCCAAGTGGAAAGCAAAGGAACAGTGGGATATTCTACAGGCCAAGCGGCCAGTAAAGAAACAATCCATCCCTCTAAAAGAATAAAACTTTTTAATGAGTCATTCAACTTATCACCTTACTATCCTGGTTTTAGTGATTCTGACTCTGAGGCTGACGAAAGTAAGTATGAAAACAATGAAGAAGATGAGACATTCCAATACCAAGCAGCAAACATCATAAAAGCAAAATTGCTGTCAATTCGGTGACCTCAAGAGTATCAACAAACAAATCTACTAACATATGCAAGCAATTGGCTCGTGAAGGCATTGACATCCTAACTCCATGTCAATCAGTTAATTACAAGTCAACAATCAAAGAGACAATCAAGCTGAAGGAAGAAATGATTGAAAAGTTGCATATGGAAAGTTGTTTCTTACACTTTGATAGCAAGCACATCGAAAGAATGGATTATCAAGTGGTTGTCCTTAAAAATAAAAAGAACAGAAATCAAATTGGATGTCCTTGGTAGATGGCAGGCGTTTAACTATTGCTCAAAGAATTTCTAAAGTCCTCGATGAATTTCACCTATTGAATTCAATACAGATGATTGTTGCAGATACCACCAGCGTTAACACTGGAAAAAAGAATAGAGTTGTTGTAATATTACAACGAATGTTCACAAAGAAACACACCAACATACCTCAATTTATCAGTTGTCAACACCATGTATTAGATGGAATCCTTCCTGAATGAAGAACTTGGAAGTAAAACACCGCCAAACATCAAATATCCATTTGTATCTCAACTGTTGAAGGAGCACGAACAACTGAAAACAAAATTTGATAACGGAACGAAATTCTCGAAACATCAGGCTGGAGAGATAATATGAAATTTTTGTTTCATCTTGCTCAACGGAAAAGGGACATTTTCCATTGATCCAGGTTTCAGAAAATATCCAACATCAGCAATACGAGGTGGACTTTAATAACTTGGCTGAAATACTGAATCCATACAAAAAGGCTTTAAGCTCTTTAAATAATCACTGAGAGCCAGGTATCTGAGATCTGGGTATCCTACAGATACCCAGAAGCCACCAATGCGCAGAGCGCGCAATCAAAGTAATGGAGGAAATTTATTCATCATGCAAAAATAAAGACAAATTGCACCTTCGATTCCTTCTGTGCAACAAGTAAGTCAACGGTCTGAGTCATTATTGGATTGAAAAATTATTGTATTACATGACAATGATATGCTAAATACATTTAAATACGTCGTAGTACTTATGTCAAAAATGATTTTTCAATGGCGGGGTGAACTTTTGAAAAGATACGCAAATATCAGGCCTTGCGATAAAGCGTCGGGCGATGTGAATTTTACGTCGTCCAAGAGCGATTTTGCGTGTAGCTAGCGTGTAGGCTATTTGCGTCGAGCAAAAAATTTTTTGTTTGAGTTTATTTAAAGATATTTTTGAGCGGAATTTTAATGAAGTAATTTACGATTATTTTAACATTAATAAAGTATTTTAAAACCGCACGCAGTTGAAATAAAAGTTTGAACTAAAAAAAATGAAATATGCTCATTATTTACAAGTAGAAAAAATTCAGATTAAAAAAAAAGTTTAAATCTTTTAAGCTAACATTTTGATAAAATTATTCAGCAATAGCAAAGTTGTCGATAAAATTGAATAAAAATACTTTCTTTTAGTTTTAGATTTTAAACTTAAATATTTTTTTTACGGGAGTTTGTTAGGTTTTAAAATTATTCCATAGATTTAAAAATATTTATTAACTGTTAGACGTATTTAAAGTATTTAAGAGTAATTTCGAGGAAACATTTTAAAAATTGGTAAGCGCAAATAAATAAAAAAAAGGATTAATATTAAAACGTATTCTACTTGATTCAATAAAAAAGTACAGTTTTTTGTAAATTTTTAAAAAGTACAGTTTTTTGTAAATTTAGTAAAAAAAGTAAATTTTTGTAAAAAGTAACTTAAAAAAATTACTTAAATAATAACGATCGCTTTTATGTTAAAAGTTACCGAAACTCAATGAAGCGTGCTCAAGAACAGCTGCTGAAAAATAGAACGTCAATAGTTTTTCGAATAATTTTTAATAATAATTTTTTAGAATAATTTTTTCGCTGAAATATTTCTTTTATACCTATAAGATTTTTATTCTAACATTTTATTTTATTTTACTAGAAATAAAATTCCTTGTTAACGTTAAAAATCTATTCAAAGATGATTAATGGACGAGTTATACTTGTATACTTAAAAAATCATGCTACATCTTCAGAAAGATGGGTCATTGGGAAGCCATTTATTTTTTCAGAAGAAAATGAAAATGATTTAAAGCTTATATCCAAAATATATTTTTCAAAAAATTGTATATGTTATTTGTCTGAGTTTGAGAACGATCAAATATTGAATAGAATGATTTAGCCTCCTCAATCACAAGATCTCTCTCTCATTGGATTTTTATGGGAGAAATAAAATTAATGTCAAAAACTAATGCGTAATGATACATAAGATGTAGAAAAACTTATTAGTTAGTGGCATAATGTTAACTTCGATAAATTAAATAAGTTGTTAAGTAGAATGCCAAGAATATGTAAGGCGGTTATTGTAACCAAGGGTGATTAAAAGACAAGTAAATTATAAGGTAATCTTATGGGACTTTATATTATTTTTTGGAAATCTAATAAATAAGAAGATAACATATCAGGTTTCAATTTCTCTCCAAGTAGTAATTAAAACTTTGATATCTTATATCGAAAAGTACAATCATTTGAATAATTATGGAAGGTAGTGCCAAGGTGCCACGGTAGCGTCACCTTCCAAATAA